AAAAAAAAACCCAAAAAAAAAAAAAAAAAAAAAAAAGAGAGAGAAAGTGGAGTGCACATTAGAATGAGTGTCCATCGTAGGTTGACCCGCTTGTTGCGGTGGTATCTGACGTGGACATCTTGTACATGTACGATATTCATTAAAGACTTTTCTTGAATATGCAAATGTAAAGGATTACAAATAGATTTGAAGCAACTCGTAGGAAGTGTCAAATATATTACAAGGTGTACATGTTTTGAATTTTCTTAATGTTTGATTGTTTGATTATTGAAAATTTAATATTAATACTGATAATTTATTTATTAAGGGGTACTCAGTTTAAAGTGTATTTTTATAATTCTCAAATTATGTACCTTAGTTTAAAAAGATATTTGATTATTTGAAAACAGTTCAAATGTTTTTTCTATCTATTTTTGTCTCTATGTATAATAGAGTTACTAACGTGACATGCTATTAGGCGGCACATTAAAAATTGATCGATGAATCAACGGGTGAAATAAGTCCTTAAAATGTAAAAAATAATTATTAAAAATATTAATATGATTATAACATATTTCTCAACTATAATCAATAAAAATTCAATTATAAACTCTAATTACATTAAAATTAAAATGTTTTTTACGAAAAAAATTTAATAAAAATAAGTTTGATTTAAATCTATAAATATTTATTCTAAAGCTTAATTATTATGAAATTTAAATTGTAAACGTGCATTTTGAAAATGCTCAATAGTCAATAAATTATAGGAACCCATGACCACTCGATCTTCTAAGATGTTGTTTGTCAAAGACAATCTAAACTTAATAGGATGACGATAATAACGCACTCTGTAATAACAACAATTACTCACTTCATGGCGACAAACGTCTTGAATGCTGATATTTGAGATTTATTGATACGGCTTTAAAGATCAAGTGGTGATGAGTTGATGTCATTTAACAAATTTTGGGCATTTACAATTTGAATTTCATGGTAATTAAGTTTTAAAATAAACATTTCATAAAAATCTAATTTAAATTAGAGTGAACTTCAATTTGTAAGTTTTCATCATAAGTATGTTATTTTTAGGGTAATTAAAGTTTAGAATTGAATTGTTTAATAATTGAAATTGAGAAATATGCATAATCATATTAATATTTTTAAATAATAATTATTTTTTTTTTACATTTTAAGGATTCATTTCATAAACACCTCTGATTTGTCTACCAATTTTTAATGTGCCCCGGATGTTTTTCAATATGCCCCTAATTGCATGTCACGTCAACAAATTCGTTATACTTATAGATAAAAAAAATAGACGGAGGGGGCATTTTGAACGGTTTTCTATACATCAAAAGATGTTTTGAATGATTTTGAAAAATTAAAAAGCACTTTGAAATATGGTACATAATTCTGAGGCAATTACAAAAATAATCCAATTGCAACCTAAATCTAAGTTCAAGGTCATTGGTTTTTCCAAATATAAAAACTATTGATCAATAGTAAAGGAGGAATCTGTGTATTTAGTTGATTTACACCGATAAATATGATATATTTACTTATTAAGACTTAGAAAGACGCATATAAAATAAAGTCACAATGCCTATCCGGATATGGCATTGGTCTATTGATCACGAACTCGGTTGGTCCTGCTAGTTTTGGTGAATATACACTTAATAATCTATTCCCTACTTGAGTAATCTTTTTCTCAACCATGGCAAATATGTTCGTGGTAGAACTGATTGTGTTAATTGTTATTATGATATAGTTTGAACTAAAATATTGCTAGATCAATTTCTATTCTCCAATTTCTTTTATTATTATTATGAGTGAATTAGTAACTACTATCTTCTAGGTAAAAGTAGTTCTATGTTGTTCAATGTTTGCATAAATATTGTCCTTACCAAAAAATTGTGCATTTTTCAAGGACACGTCCAAAACATGTTACAAGTTTAAACCAAACAATTTCAGAAAATCGGAGCATAAACATATTGAGAAAAGAATAAAAGATAAAAAGCTTAACACCTGATTAGATTAATGTCCAATAAAGCTATGATATTTTTTACTGAGGATAAGAAAGCCACGATAAGCATAATTTTCAAGGTTTTAAAGATAAGGACTGCATGATAAAATTTCTTTTACTAAAAAAGAAAGTGATTATTTTGGCATTCTCTATAGTGATACGAAAATAAAAAATAAAAAAAAACCCACTGGTGGAGCATTGATTTTTGACCGTTTGATTAAATTTTTAACGGTCAAATCTGCAACAGCAGCAGTTATACGTGGTCCGTTGTAAATTTTTAATACGGATTTACACAAATATGACCGTTAAAAAATTAATCCAACAGTTAAAAATGAGGTCTCACCGGTTAGTTTTAATTTTTTTTCTTTTTGAAATCTCACTGTTTATTAAAAAGATAAAATCACATGGCCGTACTAAAAATGACAAAATCACTTGGCCGTACCAACAAGAGTGAGTTTAGAAATTCTAAAAAAACTTATTTCACATGCTTCCAACCTTTACTCTTTGAAATTCATCATCAAATAATATTGATCATCAAATAGAAATAATACTGATAATTTAACATAACTCTAACATTCAAAGTTCATCATCAAATAAAAATAATGTTGATTAGTCCATCATCAAATAAATAGCAATTCAAAATTCAATCCAACATCAAACATGAAGCAAAGTAGTTCATCCAACATCAAACATAAAGCAAACATAAATTAGAGGCGTAATTCAAATACATTCAAAGCAAGCACTGTAACAGTAACCATCTTTATCAGTCCATACTCATAAGTTTTTTATCATGTATGTTTGTACAGATTGAGTTGAAATATACAAGTTATTATAGACCTAACTCACAAACTGTTTTAAACACTTCAAACCAAATATTTAGTGAGCTAAAAAATAAAAAATAATACTATAAATTATCCTTCTTGAGTTAAATTAGAGTGAGGTGAGTTGAATTCATGGGTTATTCCAGATTTATGTACAGCTCTAGACTATCTGTCGCTGGAGCAACTGGACCACACCCCGCGTTCTCTCGCTGAGTGAATTGACCGAAATAGCCTCGGTCCTTTGCTGCAGAATTGACACTTGTCTTTGTATATTTAAACTTTTTAAATTAATGGCGAAAAGCGTAAGACGACAATCAGAGTGCGGACGAAATTTCAATTTGGTCCCTCACACTTTATTATTTTGTTTTTGGAACTTAAGTGAGAGAGAGAATCTCAAAAAAAAAAAAAAGAGAGAGAAAGTGGAGTGCACATTAGAAAAGTGTCCATCGTAGGTTGACCCGTTCGTTGCGGTGGTATCTGACGTGGACATCTTGTATATGTACGATATTCACTAAAGAGTTTTCTTGAATATTTACAAATGTAAATGATTACAAATTGATTTGAAGCAACTCGTAGGAAGTGTCAAATATTTTACAAGATGTACATGTTTTGAATTTTGTTTAATGTTTGATTATTGAAAATTTAATATTAATACTGATAATCTATTTATTAAGGAGTACTCAGTTCAAAGTGGTGATTCTTCGTAAAAATTTAACCTGAATATTTTTATAATTCTCGAATTATGTACCTTATTTTAAAAAGATATTTGATTGTTTGAAAATAGTTCAAATGTATTTTCTATCTATTTTTGTCTCTATGTATAATAGATTTACTAACGTGGCATGCTATTAGGCGGCACATTAAAAATTGATCGATAAATCAACGGGTGAAATAAATCTTTAAAATGTAAAAAATAATTATTAAAAATATTAATATGATTATGACATATTTCTCAATTATAATCAATAAAAATTAAATTATAAACTCTAATTACATTAAAATTAAAATGTTTTTGACGAAAAGTTATTTATTAAAAATAATCGGAGCATAAACAATTTCTAAAAAGAATAAAAGATAATAAGCTTAACACTTGATTAGATTAATGTCCGATAAAGCTATGATATTTTTGCTGAGGAAAAGAAAGCCATGATAAGCATAATTTTCAAGGTTTTAAAGATAACGGCTGCATGATAAACTTTCTTTTACTAATAAAGAAAGTGATTATTTTGGCATTCTCTACAGTGATACTAAAAAAAAAAAACCACTGGTGGAGCATTGGTTTTTGACTGTTGATTTTTTTTAACGGTTAAATCTACAACAACAGCAGTTTTACGTGGTCTATTGTAAATTTTTAATACAGATTTACACAAATATGACTGTTAAAAAATTAATCTAACAGTTAAAAATGAGGTCTCACCGGTTAACTTTTTTTGTTTTGAAATCTCACTATTTATTAAAAAGACAAAATCACATGGCCATACCAAAAAAGACAAAATCACGTGGCTGTACTAACAAGGGCGAGTTTAGAAATTCTAAAAAAAATTCTTTCACATGCTTCCAACCTTTACTCTTTGAAAATCACACATTGGCTTCATTTTGGTGATTAATTAATTATCTTTCCAACGTTGAACTTAATTTCGAGAATATTTTGTCATACAAAGTATATAAATTAAATAACCAAAAGGAATCACAAATTTTCATATCACAATTATTTCATTGTTGGTTGATGCAAAATAAGCTTACATTTTTATGGTCAAAGGATAGAAGCTTTATTATAATAATAAGATATAAAAATGTAGAGCAAATTCCATAAAGTCAATTATGCCTTTAATTTTATTAACCAAAAAAAAAAAAATTACGCTTTTAAATTGCGACAAAATTCAACTATAATGTCAAATTAATAAAGCAACAACCCTCTCTTAGACTGACCTGTGTTTGCTTGTCGTTTTAGTTGGTGCCTACAAAAGATAATTTTATGCTACTAACCTACTACACTAGGCGTGATTGAGAAAGTCTTGTGCTACTAATAATTTTCCTAATTGTGTTCAAGTATTAATTGAAAGGGTTGTTAGAATCTGTCTCCTTTGAATTTCTCGTGGTCTGATACCTCCATTGCTGTTTTTCTTTTTTCTTCGTAATTTTCCATAAATTTAAAAAATAGTAATAATTATAATGTTTTAGCATCTATGCACCTAAAGTTCTCATAGTTTCATACTTTCATCTCTAAAAAAATTACAAATAGATTGCTATCAAAAGCATAAATAATGCAAAGTAGATTCAATGAATTGTTAAAGCCTGCCCTCATTTCTCAATCAATCATTTACAAGCCACCAAACTTTTTACAAGGAATAAAAGTTTGGTATGTCATGACACAAGTAGCATCTTTTACATGTCTTTCATGTACAACACAAGGCTTCTTTCTTTCTTTTGTCCTTTATCTTTACATAGGAAGGACAATCCCCCCAATGATCCAACCTTAAACTCTTAAATCTACCTGCTCTTTCCATGTTCTTTCCATGGAAGGCAAAAAACTTCAGACTTTTAATCTACCCTGTGCTTCGACTGCCGATGCAGCCAGTAAGCTTGGGCGGCTAGGACGCGGTCTAAAAGCTCCTGTGGAACGGGTTCGCCTCTCCTTTGTTGAGGCGATATTCTTGCGGTGTGCACCAGAGTTTTCCACTTGTCCTGCAGAATCTCCCATAAGCCCACAAAATGTGAAGTCAAGTATTGTTTAATTCATGTATCCACTAACAAGTTTCTATGTTCTTGTTAGCTGTAATTCATGCGGACATGACATATAAAATAGCATATGATAAAAGTGTATGCAATCTTTAGCAATTTCCAAAAACCACACTAAGTTTTGTCCCAGTTATACAAACTTGAATCTGAACTAAATAAGAAAAGCTGCTTGTCACATAATTATTACAACTTCCCATCTTTTTTTTTTTTAAAAGAATTTTAAGGCAAGTTGTGATACTTAATAATAAAAGGGAACTTCATAAAAGCAAAAAGTTCACAGTTAAGCTAGAGAAGAAAAGGATTTATAAATGCTTTTGTCAAACAACGAACCACCCACGACGCGTTTTAGCCCTCAAAAGATACTCAAGCGTATAGTGTGGCTGTGGCAGAAGAGATCAAATACTCTAATCATAAACTAGGATTACAAAATTGACAATCACCTTCAAATCAACATAAGTCCGATGCTTTGCATTGTCAAAAGCATGGAATTTTACATCACGCCACCTGCAATGTAACAGAAAAAAAAAAAAAAAAAAAAAAAAAAAAGTTAAACAGTCTGCAGATGCACTGATGTGGAGGAATGAGACAGTTAGAATTTTACCGACCTAACCACAAGACGGAGGATGGGACCTAGAGTTCCCAATCCACCTAAAGAAAACCCACAAGAAGGAAAAAACCGAATTGGAGAGAATAGTATTTAATATCTCAATAATCTAAGTCTAAGTATTATAATAGCTAGTGCAGCTATTTATAGCTCACACACCAAAATGATAACACAATACAAACTGAGACAAGCAACATACTAGACGAATAATGATAGCAGTTAAAATAATAACAAAATAAAAGTAAATTGACAAGCTAGATTAAACAACATAGTAAACATCTAAAAATGACTATTATGACTAACACCTCCTACATCATGCACTCATCCATTCAAAAGCAAAAACATGGTCTAATCATTGAAACCAACCTTCCAGTTCCAAGCTTCTCAACCGCACGAACCAATGCCTCCACTTCAGAAACAGTAAAAGGCCTCCTGATCCGGCGCTGCACACACTCATGATGCCCCAATTTTCTACGTAAAGGAACCACAGCCAATGCTTCCATACCAAATTCCGGAACAGTAACCAGAGCTTTGGACTCTGGACTTGTACTGGTACTCAAGGTTGTGGGAACTGCACTAACGTTATTTTCAACAAAGCCATTCAAATGCTTCATGGGAGGACGTAGGGAGACATTTGAACTTCCTTGTTGAGATGTCAAACATGTGGAACGCCTAAGTGAAAGAACACGGTGATTCCATAAACATGTCAACTCGAAAACTAAGTATGATAAACAGATAAAGAAATTAGACCAAGAACAAACAGAACCACTAGAAGACAATCCTATGGAAGGCTTTATAGTTAATATTGCTACTTGGTTAGTCCCTGCGATCTGCTTCTGGATAGTAAAGATTCGTTCTTGATGTGTGGAGGCTTTGCGGTTTGAGAATGTTTAGGCTCCAAGATAAAACCCAAATTATGACACCTGTTGCTATCTTGAGAAATCCCAGTCTGAATTAGAGTTTTATTATCATCTCTAACTTTCTTTCCCTGAACAAGAATGCCAACATGTAGTCCATCCCCAAGTATAGAAGTCATAGCCTCCATAACCGTCCTCTACGCAGAAAAGGAAAAAAAAAAGTTGTTAATCACCATGAGAGAGGGCAAGAGAAATATGTAAAATTATTGTGCTTGTTACATAAAACCTCAATTTTACAAGGATTAGTTTGTTCTGTATCACAATGTGGCACTAGAAGTAACAAAGTGACCTCAAGACAGTCGTTCAGTAACAAGAAATTCCTCAAGTTTGTTTAAAAACAATCCTCTAGTTCCTCCAAAAAAAAATGTAGCAGCATTGAAAAAAACAGTGATTTAAGTAGGAAAAATAACTCTAATCATATACCTTCAGTGACCCGACAGTTGCATTCGTGGGGATGTCAATGAAGAGCTCAGGAACCTTGAATGATTTAATACTAAGCTTCACTGATTAACAAAGAAAACACATGTCAAAGAAGCTAAAATAAATAGACAAATTTGAAGTAAAACTACAAATGATTTAGTCCAAACGTTTCCTACCATTACACTCATTGGAGTTGTGACCTACTTGTTGAGCCGCCATTGACGATGATACTCCGATTGCTTCATGTCAGAAAAAGACTTATTCAAAGCTGAACAATGTGCATGAATAAATGTGAAGGATATTAAGAAAAATAGGAATAGGCGCATGCATTGTTGCACCTGAAGTGTAGCATTTGCCATCGGTTCTCTTGTCAGGTGAAACGAAGGCGTCGTCTCGGTTAAACACTCTGTTAGATGTAGGTAAAGGGTCATGGTAAAAGAACTTCCTCTTCTTGAAAGGATAAATCTTCTGACATTTTTCTTGAGTATAACAAGTTTTCTCATCATCATCATAAACCTCCTTTACTTTACCATCTGAAAAAAGCAATCCAAAATGACCAGTTATACATACAGGGTTATAAATTATGCTAAAAGAGCAATAGAAAAAGACCCTCCCTCCAAAAACATTGCTATTTATTCATTACAAGTCACTTTTTTCGCGCTTTTAAATAGGGTGCACCATGATATACATTTATGTTATGAAATGCATTAAGTAAATTCAATTACCAGTCCTGCGATAATCGCAATCCTTCACATCTGGAGCTCCTATCCAATCCTTGGTTTCAGAAGTTTTCTTTATCCTCCTGTTTGCATTACCCATAGGCAGCCCAAGACAGCTTTCATAGTCATCTCTGCTAACTAGTTGCTCGTCAGTGATATGAGAAGTGAAAGGACAATGATTTTTAAAGTCCTTTGAAAAAGAATCCTGTGCATCATCATTTCTAGAACCAGCTGATTTAGATGGTTCACCTTCCAATTTCATTAGATCTCCTGTGATAATTTCATCCTTAATACTAATACTACTTCTAGTTTCTGTGAGTTCAGCGTCGAGTTTGCTCGATGGCACACCTTGAACTTTCCCTTCAATTGTATCAGAAAAGTATGGCGAATCGCCAAAACAATTTTTGCTATCAAGAATAGTCAACTTTTCATCATAATTCATTATCTCCGATGGACTAAGATCTTTTGAAGTAGGATTGATCTCAAAAGTCAGCATTTGTTTTTCATTTGTTTCTTCACTAGAATTTCCAGGCTCAAGAGGCTTTTCATTTGACAATCGTTCTTCATCAACTTCTTTCATCAAAACAATGTCATCGCAAGTGTAATGCTGGTTCTTTCGAATACTAGCATCACTATGCAAAGAATTGTCATACTTCTCCAACAATTTACCTGCTACACTAGCCAAAATATCAAATGAATGATTCTGACCGCTCTTTCTTGTAGGTCCTCGCCCCTAAATCAAGAAGAAAAACTCGAAAAGTTATGACATTCTCTCTAAACACTAATAACAGGCAAGAGGCAGTTTGTGAGTTGTGGTAGTGTGTATTCACCCTAGTGGATCTACAGGCTCGAGGGACTTCGGGCACTTGGTAGCCACTGAAGCGATAGTCCGATGTCCTTTGCAACACCATATCTCGGGTGTTCATTACAATGAAAAGGATTCATCTGCCAAAAATAGCCAACTTACCAGTCATGATCAAGATCTTTGGACAATAACATGATACAATATCACTACAGAAGGAAAAAAGAAAAACACACGCATTAATAAGAGAGATAATGAAATATACAAATAGAGATATGGTAACACAAATCAAAATGGGTAAGCAGAAATTCACATGGTACAAAATTTCCAACATTAACAATTTGACATCACATGTTGACTTAACAAGAAATTGATTGGCTTTATAAATGAAAAGGAAATAACAAGAAAAGTAGTACTTCAAAATCCCAAAACAGTCTGCTAAAGCACAAAGCAATCTTCATTCCTTCCCATTCTTTTTCTCAATGTCATTTTTTGGCAAGAAAATTTTTAACACTTCTAAATTATCATAATCAATTAAGAGTTAAGAATAGAGATAGGAATTCAATAACATGATATTGACTTTTATAAATGAAACAGATATGAAAAAAGAGAAGGGATCAGGAGTTAAGCAGACATAAACCTTTGCACAGGAATGAGCATTTGAGCATTTGAAGAAGAATCTCCATTTCACTGCTTCAACTCATCACTGGATTGTGGATGCAAAATAAAGTACTAGAATTTGAGTCCTTGATCTCTGTTGAACCACAAAATAAAATAATTTACTTCAATTGACAAGTGATTATTCAAATATAAAATGAAAAATCCAACTATAAACCCCAACCAACAGAACCCAAAACGACATCAGAATAACCAGAGGCATAATTGCAAGTTCATTATGTTCATCATTTTAAGATCCCAAAAATCCTCGTGGAGACCAAACCTTGATAATTCCAAATTTTATAACCATTTTTTTTCTTTCTTTTTTTTTTTTTTGGAAAAGAATACAGGGACTTAGATTTTTTCACCAACATCCATAAAGAACATATATATGTATATGAAAATACTATAAAAAGAACAGACACTACTTATAAAAAGTAATATGAAATAAAACAAATAGGGGAAAACAAAGAGAAAAATTTGATCTTTTTCACATTGATGAATGATATACTGTACCTGTGGAATTCACCAAATTAGTTCCAAAAGAAAGAAATTAACAAACGTTCTTAACTTGACAGAAAAGTAGAGGAAGCATAATGCATTTCAAGAAAAAAATAAAAAAACAATCCAAAAAAAAATAAAAATAAAAACAAATCACCTATATGAAAATGGGTTTTGATGTTTGAGATCAGCAAAATTTCAAAAAAACAGAAAAACAAAAAAACCCCCTGAAAACCACCAGGACAGACATGCCATCACACCTGTCTTTCTTAAACCCTGTAGTAACCGGTTACATAAGCTTGAGTTTACCGGTTATAGCAGGTGGACAAAAAGGAAACTACTTTTTTGGACCAGTTCTTTCCTCTTTCAGTTCCTTCGTTTGAGGGTGATCCACTCCCCTAACATCCGTACGAGCTGTGGGTTTGACACGTGGAAGGCTCTCCACAAACGTGGGGTTGAATCTTATCTATGTTTATGTTAAAATGTTCAAAACGCAAAACACAAGAAAAAAACACACGCACGTTTTGGAGGTAAAACTGGTGGATCTTGTGATTTAATTTTATTTTTTTGTTTTCCAAAAGCAGTTTTATTTTTGGGTTCGCCACCTTCGTCGCCAGATCAATGATTTTGCACAAACATTGGCCAATTACTTGTCTAAGCCTTGGAATCGCATTGACCATGTATTCTTCTTTTTCAATTTTTTTTTTTTCTTTTTCAACGTGGATTATAATACTAGACCACGTGATATATTCTTAAAATAAAATTTAAAAAAAGTAGAGAAAAACTAAAAATAGACAGTAAAAAAATATGTATTTTTGAGAAAAAAGGAAGGCAGATTATGTGATGGTCCTGGAGTTAAAGATTATATCTCCTTAATAATAAAAAAAAAATAATATACTTTTAGGATTAATGGACATTCACCTCGTGATTTTTTTTTTTTTTTTTTGATAAAGTAGTGCCTAATAAAATATAACTTAGAGATAAAAGTGTAGAAACATCAGTCTTTTGTTAATGCCATCTCATTTTCTATGGAGCGGATTGACACAAAAGTTTTGCCCACAGCTCTTTAATATCTTTAATATCTGCTGCTGATGTTGAATATATTGGTTTGCTATGGTGGTATTAATGTGTGTTGTTTCTGTTTTATAATTTCTGTTCGTAAATGATTTTATTATGTTATTAATGAATGTTAGTACTATACGTTTCTTTATTTATAAAGACTAATGCTGCATATGAATGTATTCTGTATATCTTTTTTGTTTCCTTGCACTTTACTCTTTCTCTCCTGCATTTAACCCTCAATCATTTACTGCTCTTCTTCATTGTCGATCATTTACTGTTTTGTCTTGCTATCTCTGTATCCTTTCTTTCCGTTTGTTCGCATTTAGTTGGCCGACATTTCATACATAAAAGAGTGTTTATAGCGTTCCAGGTACTATTAATAACTCTTACCCACAGCTCTTAAATATCTACTACTATGTTGAATATATTGGTTTGCTATGGTGGTATTAATGTGTGATGTTTCTGTTTTATAGTTTATGTTCATAAATGATTTTATTATGTTATTAAGAAATTTTGTTCTGTTGTAAATAAATGTTAGTAAGTTGTGTCTTTTTTTCTCTTTTTTTTCCGTCTTTCATTAGTAAATTTTGCTCAAATATTGACTAACGGTCTATTTTTTTTAGGTCACACACACATATATATATATATATATACATGTCTTCATTTGATATATTTTATTTTTAACTGGTTTCTTAATGGGACAACGATGGTTATAGTGAATTTTAGCACGTTAAATCTTATGTTCGTCCAGAAATTGCTCTGAATATGTTTTTCTTAGATTCTCATTTTGTCTATCTTTTTTACTAAAGTTTATTAGCCATACTCTTTTGTTTTTTTATTGCTTATTCGGATATTTTTGCCTTTTTCATATGACTATTTCATTCAAAACTTATATACACAAATATTACTTTCCTTTTCTGTTGCTAGATTTTGCCTTTTTATTCAGTTGACATATTTTCTTTTATTCTGTTTTTACTGTGCCGATGATGATTATAATCAATTTTGACATGTTGAGTTTTATGTAAATTGTCTAGACATTGCTAAGAAGAGAATATATCCTCCTCATTTGAAATCTGCTTTTATTTATTCTTCTTTACTAAAATTTTTTATCTGTCTCTTTTTTCTTTTTTTAATTTATTCTGGTCTTTTTGGCATTTTGGTATCACTATTTTACTCAAAGCTTATTTACACATACATTAGTTATTTTACTCAAAGCCTTTACTATTCTATTCGATACTCATTCGTTCATACACTAGCCTTTCTTTTATGTTACTGAATTTTTCTTTACATGCAGTTTTCACTTATTTTGGACTTTCTGTTTTAACTATTTGATTCAAAATTTATCCCTCCATGTAATATTTCCCATTATCTCACTTGTTCTCCCTGTCTTAAATCTTCAATTTGAATTGTCCTGTTTCCCTTTTTTTTTTCATCCCGCGCTATTTTTTCTCCTCTCTCTTTGTCCTTTTATTTTACAAAAGCTTTTGGATCCTAGGCTGATTGTCCCTTTAATGTTGTTATTTTTCTCTCTTTTAATTCACTAAGTAGTTTTTGGACAACTTTATATTTTATTCTAGTCATTTATTTCGTATCGCATATTTATTATAATCTGTCTAGTATATATAATATCTAACTAATTTTTATACTTTTATGTAGTTGCTGCTAATAGGTAGCCATAAAATGGCTATAAAAAATATAAGTCAGTTAATTTGCCATAGATGCTGACAATACTTAATATCTAAGCCATAATCACCGTATAGAAATATTGTTATATTCATAATGTTTCAACTTTTTCTGCTCAATCTTTTTTATTCCTTATCTATTTATTTATATTTTTCCATTACTTCTCTTCATTCTTTTCTTTTATGAAATTAATGAAATCAAATCTTATTATAGAAAATTTTTAATCCATTTGTTTATCTATGAAGGAGGGAGCTAAAAATAGACAAATACAAACATCAATTTGTCTATTTATGTATTGTTTGTTCATGAGTTTAATTCATGTATTATTTTTATGTCATTAATTTATTTTGTACATAATCATATTTAATATTGTAAATTCCAGATTTTTATTAATGTAAATATATGATCATTGTCGGCATTTTTGTATTAGTTTATTCGGGATCAATTGTAATTGCAAATATATAATTTCGTCAATTTGTTATTACAAATTTATTTATGTAGTAATTTGTTGCCAATTTTAATGTATTGTAAAAGTGTACTGCAATTAGAATATAATTTTATGTATGTACAGTTGGTTGAAGCTGCTGCTTCGTTTTATTCTTTTCATTTCATCCTACTTTGAGACCAAAAAATATAAATGCCTATTCGTGCGCTACAATTTATAGTTTCCTTCCATATTTGCTTACTTTTCTCATTTTCTGTAGTTTCATTAGTCATGTATATATTAATCGATCTATATTTATATAGTTTTTTTAAATAAAAAAATTAATTAAAGATGTATGGAATATACTTTTCATAATTTATAAAATAATAATACATTTGAAATAAGAATTAATTAAGTAAAAAAAAAAATTAGTAAAAAAGATAGATTTAAAAAAAAAAAATTAGATTCAATTTATGCAGACAATTTGGATGCTTAATTAATATCTAATGTCTAAATAGAGTTTTAATATTCTTTAATCTTAAATAAAAATTTAAACCATAAGCCTATACTATTGAACCCAAAATAATATATTCTTCTTTCTTTTAATTCCTGAAATAATCTCATATTATGATTAACATATGAATAAAACAAAAATTGCAAAAAAAATGATCACGATCGAATGAGCGTATGCGTCGTGTTACTTCAAAAATGGACCAAGATTCTAACAACATAATTAATCAATATTCGCATCAAATCAATCAAAATAACGAGTTTGTATCAACAACTTCTCGGCCCAGATTTGATGTGATGTTGGGCCACGAACGATTAAAAGTGTGGAACAACATGACAGAGCGGTAAAAAGAGACGCTCTTGCAATCTCTAAACAGTGTTTTATCATTTCCGTCAACATCCCAAAACAACAACGAAAAATGTAATTCCGTTATCTATACTAACTATTAGATTTAAATAATTACAACTCCTTTATATAATAACAATGATAACTTCTTACGTATAGTCCTCAACATCATCTTTAATTTTTTTTATAGGTATTACCAATACTTATATTTGTTATTCCAAACATATTTAGTTGGGAATTCTATATAAATTAATTTTCTAGTATTGATGTCACGTTTGTTCGTTTCCATCCATTCAGTGAGAGTTATTTTATCAATGCCTGGTTGTCTTTTTACATTACTAAGACGTTAATTGGAATGAAATATTATATTTTGCATCTTTGGTAAATGTATTGATAGTCTTCTTTTATATGATCAAGGCACTTCATTACCAATAACCTAAAAGCATATCCAACATTATATTACTAATTGTATACCATTGAAATACCCTATTACCAATAAATTAAAAACATATCCAATAAAATCATTCATTCATGCACTAAATAGTTATTTTTTACTTTTGACAATTAGGCAGAATGTCCACCAATTCGTGCGCTAAAACCAAACGAAGTATATGAGACTATCAGAGCAAGAATTTACAAATTATGGACAAACAATGACTTCACTACAGGACACTTAATAAGCCTTGATTGTCTGTTAGTTGATGAAGAGGTGATAACTTTTATAAACACTATATTATACTCTATTTGATCTAATATCAAGCATTATAAAATAATTAACAATTTTTTCGTTTTCATTCGTAGCATGAAGCAATTCAAGGATCAATTTGAGCATGTGATTCAGAAACTATTTTGCAAAAAATTCAAGCAGGAAATATATATGACATTAGTAATTTCTTTGTGACTCAAAACAAGCCAACATACAAAGTTGTACCTCATATTGCAATGATTCAATTTGCACGTGCAACGTCCTTCGTCCCAATTACAGAAGAACCACCCCTCATTCTCTTCTATAGATTTTATTTCACTGAGTTTGACTAGCTTCAACAAAGAATCCAGACAATTAAAATTTTAACAAGTAACATAAATTACTTATTTCAAGAAAATAAAAACATCATTAATTTATTAATCTACATTCTTAACATTTTCTATTGATCTACCAATAGATGTTATTGGAGTTCTAACAAAGGTGCAAGCAATCGAGCAGACAAGTATCAACAACAGATCAACATCACGCCGCACTATAATGATACAAAATATAAGGTAAATCAACTCTACATACATTTTATTCTGACTATGTTAAAAAATTTATACTTAATAAAAGCACAAAACTTTTACATTATGCAAAATTCCTTATTCTAACTTTCTTTTTTTACTTTGCCTTTCCAACAAGTTTGAACAACTTCAGGTAACCTTATGGGGACACAAAGTAAATTAATTTGATGAAAATGTTATAAAATCGATGAAAGGACCAATTGTGGCAACTTTCGTAGCAATTTAGTCAAATAATATTTAGGTATTTTTTCAACAATCTAACAAAATAACTGCATATACAGACAAAACACCTAGACCAAGTTATTAATCAATTTATTGCTAATATCTCAGGCAATCCATATGTCTCGAGTATTGCAATAACCATTTTCCACATTGACCCAAACATACTAGAAACAAGGACATTAAAGACAAGATAACCAAAATAATTCACAACATCTCCAAAAAAAACATATTCTATTACATATCAAAAATCTTTTATCACTTTTTTTCCTGCCTATTGTCACCTTTGCATGTACAGATTTTCTCACCAAAATTAAGAAATTGAGTTCTCAACAACATCAATGGAACCAACACAATCAATTGAAGAACAAAAAACGCAAAACAGAAAAACAATCGCTGAGCTAAAAATGTTGGATCAAGAAAGTAATCAGGTTAGCACTATAATATTTTCTCTTCTTCTTTTCCTTTAATTACACTATTTAAGCTAATAACTTTTCCTCATTTATGCAGAGTACAAAATTTACAGTAAGAGCTACAATAACTGAATTCTTAACAGATCAAGGCTGGCACTACAACTCTTGCCCCAGATGTTACTGACAATTAAAATAAGTAGGCATTGGTTGGTGGTGTGATAGTCAGAGACATATAAAACAACAGAAATAGTAGAAAATAGGCCAATATGAAAAGCTTAAGAAAGTATATAGGCCAATTTTTAGTTATAGAAATTAATAGGCCATAACTTGTCAAGTTATGGTTCATAACCAGATAAGTTATGGATAAACTTGTCAAGTTATGGTTAATAGTCAGACAAGTTATGGACAAAAACTGTGAATTATGGACAATAACTTGTCAAGTTATGGTTCATAACCAGATAAGTTATGGATGAAAACAGTAATTTGGCCTATTTATTAACTTATGTAAACTATTGGCCTATTAATTTTAATTCATCTCAAGTTTTGGTCTATTTCTCTCTTTCTCCCTAAAAACAACACCATCTCCATGATCATTAAGATTATAAATATATTGTTACTATAATTTATTTACTTTCGTTAGCTGCAATAAATAACTTATTACAATAATCAACTATTATTATATATTTTGCAAGTTCAGATTAAACGTGCAAAACAGAGATAACACTGGAGATATGAATATCACCATATTTGGTAGAGCAGCACAAATCTTAATTAAGAAATCATGCTCCACATTAACAATTGATTAAGACTTCACCAATCCGTTTGTAACCCCACCAGCTATTGATCAACTAAGAGGACAAACAAAAATCTTCTAAATATATTTTCAACAGAGAGGACGACAAATGAATACAATTGTTTAAAAAATATTTAAAGATGCCCAGCCTCTAATATCGTCAGCACAAATATTAGCCACTGCATCAGCAGATCCACAGACACCAGATCCAAAAAAATCAACAACAAGGTAAAAAATATCTACTAATTTATATCAATTATATAAAAAAAATAATATTTATTACTTTAAATGCATATCTAAATAATATTTTATCATTTCAATCCTTACAAAAACAACAGATATTCAACGCCCAATACCAAAACCGCAAACATAGGACCAATAGATCCACAAACACTAGATCTAAAAAAATTAAGCACAAGATAAGACACATTTACTAATTTCTATTATTTGTCAACAAAAAACAATATCTATAATTTTAAATACATATATGAATAATTTTTTATCATCTCAGTCCTCAATTAAAAGAGACAGAATAATCCAGAAAACGTTGAAAAATCAAGTAATAAATAGCTTAATTTACATAACATATACACACAACATTTTCAACATCCCCAATTACTAATACCAATTTTTTCAAAATTTGTATTTGGCAGCTAAAAAGCGCAGCAGAAGAAGCGAGAGGAAAAGCATACATTATAAAAGATTTCTTATGACAATATTATATAGACAATATTATATAGACATATCCACATAAAAATATCTATATAAACTAATTATGTATAATAAAAATTACCAAATTTTTATATAACTCATAATTATTATCCGCTGCAACGTGTGGATAAACAGCTAATATTATTACTATTGTCATGTTATTTACTGTGTAGTTTTATGAATTATCATACGTGCGGATAAACAGCTAATAGTATTACTATTGTCATGTTATTTACTGTGTAGTTTTATGAATTATCATTTAAAATAATTCGTAAGACCTAATAATACTTACAGCTCGTTTAATTCGCTGATTCGAGTTTTTAATTTAAGTTTTTAGAGTTTTTTACTGTAACAAAACTCAAATCAGTGAAATGAACGGGACCTTAATTATCGTCTCAACAAATGACGGTTTACGTAGGAAAAAGCTAATCAACCGAAGGAGCTCAACGTGGGCTTTGTAAAAATAACTCAATAGAAAAATTTTATTAGTAAAATAACTTTTTAAAAATTTTTATTTGTAAAATGATCACTTTTTACAAAGAATGATTAAGTGTCATTCTTCATAAAAAATAAAAGAAGATCATTTTATTAATTTTACTTTATTGGATAGTCATTCTAGCATATTACTCTCCTCAACCGAAGTGCCCAAATTCTTGGAGTTGTCAATGTGATTCCTGTGTATTCATGAGAATTTGACACGTATAAGATGAATTTGAACACCTCGCTGATTATTGATCGGCCGTGCTTGAAACGGCAACTTTGGGGATAAGGGTGTTGTTTCAAGTTTTGAGATTTTGTGGTCAAAACACGTGTCTGAAAAGCACAAGAAAAGTGCCCGAGATTGAAAACGAACACGCGACGTTGCACGTGACAGTTATGGCAATTATAAACTTCTTACTAAGCCCCTATAGGCCTAAACGAATCCAAGATCCAAAGTCGGAGAGAAAAAAATGGGCTGCGTCACCAGCTTAGTATTTTTTAAACTTTGGCTGCAAGGGTTTTACTACTATATGGTAATGGTATCATGTTATGTACATATAAAGAGAGGTTATCAAAACACTCGGAATATTGAACCAATCTTAACTGAACAAAACTGCTTATCAATATTAACCTATTCCATCATAATATCAATCCTGCATTACAACCAAAATAAGAATAACAAACAAATGGGGTATATTACACCGGGAAACATACAACATTATGTCTTTAACTCTTCATGCAGCTGCCTGATTTTCATATTGCCACGGGTTGAACTCCGTTGATCTGATGTCGGTCACTTCATCACTGTTTGAGCTATCTACTGCAGCACGATGCTCGGTATACTTTCCGTTGTACGAATACACTTCCAAGTCCCCCCAGGGTGTAGGACTGATATCATTAGTCTGGTCAAACCATCTTGGAGTAAACTGATGGCCTTTCGCTTCTCGGTTTCTCTTCTCAGCTCTCTGCCTCTCCTCCAGACTGATAAAAGAAAGATATAGGCAGGCACGTGTTAGGAGTCCGTTTCCACTTATAAATAGAAAAATGAGAACTCAAAGAAATCGTACTAGAGAAACAAGAAACATAATTCCAGCCATGATGAAAAAATCCTACATGAAAATTATTTATTTCAGTCCAAAAGCACTTGTAAACAAGAAATAACATGCATCTTTCTGGCGTCGATCAATGAAACAAATTTGTGCCACTTCTCAACCAGTTATAAAATCTCTGTCCAATCTTATTTGTCCAAGCTGTATGTGTGAACGAGAGATAGAGAGAGAGAGAGACAGAGACAGAGACAGAGAGAGACAGACAGAGACAGACAGACAGAGACAGAGAGACAGAGACCTGCTCTTTTCTAGTCCAGCTTTTGATAGGTCTCCTTGCTCTAGTGCGTATCTATCAGGACGTAAACGTGAGTCTGATGCCAGTAACTTCTTTGGAGCAGTGTCCAAGCTATTTAATTTATGTGCAAAATATGTGTACTGGAATTTATCATTTTCCGGAACTTTGGCAATCCTCCAAACCTGTGATGCACCCAAAAAAATCGTGAGCTTTACATAAAAAGGAAAGAAAAGACTGTTACGCTACCACAAACAGATAACTCGATACTCTTTCGTAGCATTGTTTCCAGCCTTGCAATAGAAAAGTACAACAAATATGACCAACTTGACCACAAGGCAATAAGTTACAATATTACATGAACATCCACGATACAACATTAAAAGCTTAAGGTTGTCAACAAGAAGCGAGTCCCACAATAACCAAATAGAAAAGACAAAAGGGTGCGAAGCCAATCTTCTCCAGGCTCATTACAGTGGAGAAAGATCAAGATAACCGATTTAAAGTACATTAACAATTACTGTTGAAGAGAGAACTCCGGATGAGTGCTCAAAAGTTGCAAAGATTTATCACGTCAGAAATCAGAACATCAGTGTTCAACGAGAATTCACAAAAAAGGCAACAGCTTTCAAAGACTCTATGGGACACAACCCTGAATAATCAAATGCGGAAGGACACACACACACACTCCAACACTACAAAAAAATAAAATAAAATAGAAAAAGAAAAAATCTATGCTCATGTAGGAAAACGGTAAACCAGGGGGAGGTGGGAAAGGGAGGGGTGGAGGGGGGCAGGCATACTAACAGGAAATACTTCAAGCAATGAACAATATTCTGAACATCGTCAGCAAAACAGAATATGCGCACATGCCCACATATTAACACACTCACTCATATAAAATATACAAAGATGACCAGAAAATGGAGTGCCATTAGTCTCACACTCAAAACACACGCAGAGAGAGAGAGAGAGAGAATTTCACTACTAAGATCGTTCAAAAGAGAGGACAAACAAACCTCTTTCAGTTCAGCGCCAGGAAGTGGTTCCCCTTCCAAGTCACATGGTTGATAACTCATATACTCGTTCCATTTTCCAGTCATCAACATTTTTGGTTCCTCATTAGAATTGTAAACATATCCATCTACTTCGTAGCGACCAGCTCTGGCAAACATGAAAAAACACACATCAGATTGGTTATGAATGGGAAAATAAAAAGAGTGAGAGAATACAAGAGATAAGTAGACACATCATATTTCAAAACAAAAACCGGTCTCACATCAAATATTAACTGCACAAATCCTTTTTCATTTAAACTAGTAGGTTCCTCAATATAAATTATTTGCAAATTGGCTTGTTTTGAAGAAAGCATTTGTATTATTAATACATTAAATATGAGAAAATGAAAGAGAAGAGTGTCATACCCAAACCAACCACATGGTTGAAAATATAGTACAACTTTGTCTCCTGTTGTCAAATTCGTTAGAATCATCTCTCCTGGTGAGTCAATCCAAGTACGCCCAAAAATTAAGTTGTGTACTTTTGTTGGAGGAGGTACCAATTCCAGCACTACACCATCCCTTTTGAGGGTCAAACGTGTTCTGCATCCAAAAATATTACCAAGCTAAGTAAATTATTACATAATTACATAATTACGTTCGCTTAAGGAAAACAAAATCATCCAACTAAGGGCTAGAACTGCAAGTAGAACACTAGAAATTGATGATTAAGCTATGTGTGGTCTCAGCTCCAGGCAAAGTGAAGGTGGAAATAACTTTAAACCATAAAAAGATAAATCTAACAAGCCATAACTCTATAGTCCACCAACTTTTAAAGCAACATAGACTCGACTCAAGTCCATGACAATCTTTTATAGTTTTTCTTTTTAAGCCAAAAAGGCATAAACTCAAGAATTTGAAAGAAGAGTTTATTATTTTACATGCATTAAACATTCAAGTTATTTATTGCTAGAAGAACTTTCCTATACAGTCGTGGCTCTTGCTTATCATATAGAAATTATCAAGCTAATTGCCAAAAAAGCATTCAGAAAACACAAAAGCTACAACAAAACAAGAAAATATAAAATAAAAAATTTGTTAATAAGAAAGCATTCAGAAAACATGAAAGCTATAGTGAAATTACAAAGATGGATGCAAAATGAAAATAATTTTACCTTCCAACTGGGTAGACATCAACCGAGTTCCCCAGAAACTTGGTTTTCACCTTTGATGTCAGGTCATAAGTAAAATGCTCATTTTCAGCATGTGCAGCGCCAATTGGAGGGTGATGACTTACCTGAAAGAATATTAGAAAATCACATGAATAATGCAAAACTCACAAGATGCCAACTGCATGCACTACTAGTTTATGATAAAGTCAATGATGACTCACTTGCCAAAACTAACAAAGATCCTAGCACTAATGGAGATAATAACAATATGAAAAAGGAGCAAGAAGATTACTACTCCAAACGGACAAAAAATCCCATGATATATATGCAAAGCCGTTGGAAACAAACATGGCAATTTGTTATGCTATTTCAAAAGGATTACCTAATAAATAAAAACCCTTTTCTAGGAGTTATTTAGCATATTACCATTGCCTTTTATTGTATAAATAAACATGTCCATACATCTTGCTCGACAATGAAAAAGAGTGAATAAATTCATTTTTCTATTCATTGCTTTTTCTCATTCCTTTTCTATATTCCCTTTACAATAAAATTCTTTATGGTATTAGAGACAATGGCAAGCCTTACTTCTGAAATCAATTCCCATGTTGAACCTAAACTCACAATACAAATCTTCCATCAATGTGCTAGTCTTGTTTCTGTAAAATTAAGTTCCTCTAACTTTCTTGTTTGGAAATCACAAGTCTTGCCCTTGATTAAAAGTCTTGGGATAGCCCACCATCTTACAAATGATGTACCAGCCAAAGAAATGATCGGAGACTATGGAAAGAAAGTTTCAAATTCAGAATACATACAATGGCTCCACAATGATGGATTACTTGTTTCATGGCTCTTGGGCATCATGACTGAAGACATACTCAGCATGATCATAGGGAGTGAAACATCAAAGCAAATATGAAGCAGTTTGGAAGAGCACTTACTTCCCAATACCATAGAACAAGAAGATAATTTGAAGGATTCCTTGGTTTGCTTGAAGGATCCTTATCCATTTCAGAATATATTAGAAAATTCAAAGCTATATGTGACAACCTTGCTGCCATCAACAAGCCGATTCCGGAAACTAAAAAAGTCTTTAAATTAGCACGCGGGCCTGGTCCTAAATACCAAAATTTTCGTACGGCAATGCTTTCAAAGTCACCATATCCTTCATTTAGTCAGTTTGTTCTCTCTTTGCAGAATCATGAGCAAATGATAACTAAACAACATGAAGAAGAATAGCGAATTGCAGATCATGCGCAAGCCTTCTTTGGACAAAGAGGGCGAGGAAGAAACAACAGAGGGGGTCGTTTTAATTCGAGAGGAAGAGGGTTCACTCAAACAAATCGATCAAACAACCAGAATTTCTATCACTCTCCAAACTACTCAAGAAATCAAGGTAATAGCAAATCAAACAATGGTTGGAAAAACTTCAACGACAATGGACAGGGCAACACCAACAAAGAAAAGGAAGAAGTCAAATGCCAAATATGTGGAAGAACCAACCACACAGCCATTAAATGTTTTTACAGATACGACTATGCTCATCAAGAAGATGAGATGCCTGAAAATTTTGCGGCTTTGTCTCTACAAGAAACTAACCCACATTTCTATGCAGATTCTAGAGCAACAACACATATGACAAATGATGTCGGTAAGCTCTCTTCAGTACATGCTTATAATGGACATGATGCTATTTATGTAGGTAATGGAAATAAATTATCTATCTCACCTACTGATAATGTTTTTTTAAAAACCCCTCGTGGAAATTTAAATTAAAAAATGTCCTTATTGTTCCTAAGCTTAAGAAAAATTTATTATCTATTAGTCAATTTACTCAAGATAACTCTTGCAGTATTGAATTCAATACTAACGGTTTTGTGATAAAGGATCAAAGTCAAAGGACACTAGCGAAGGGGCATAAAAGAGGACAATTATATGCTCTTGAAGAAGCAAAATTGGAAACACTTGCAGCAGTCAAATCTCCTTCAGCTTCTTCGGATTTGTGGCATCAACGAATGGGACATCCCCATTCAAAATTTTTACAAGTTTTAAATAAAAAGGAAGTGCTAAGCATTTCTAGTTGGCTAAATAGACATTCTATTTGTACTAGTTGTGTCAATTAGCGAAGCGTTGCAAACTTCCATTTTATGCTAGTAATAAATTGTGCAAATTTCCTTTAGAAAAAATACATTGTGATTTATGGGGGCCAGCTCCTATTTCTTCTATTCAAAATTTTCACTATTATGTTATTTTTATTGATGATTGCACTAGATATACTTCGTTATATCCTCTTAAGCACAAATATGATTTTTATGAATGTTTCTTGAAATTTCAAAAACTTGTTGAGAATCAATTTGATAGAAAAATCAAAATTTTTCAAAGTGATAGAGGAGGTGAGTTCACTTCCACACTTTTCACTAACCATCTTGCTTATTGTGGTATAGCTCAACAATTGTCATGTCCAAGCACACCTGAACAAAATGGAATTGCAGAAGAAAACATCGACATATTGTGAAAACTGGTCTCACCATGATTTTTCATGCAAACTTACCACTCAAGTTTTGCGTAGATGTTTTTCTCACAGCAACATACTTAATAAACCGTCTCCCATCATCTTCTCTAAATATGGAGACACCATATTTCAAATTGTTTGGAAGGCATCCTGACTATAGTATTTTAAACGTTCTTGGCTGTAAGTGTTTTCCTTATTTAAAGCATCAAAATCAAAATAAATTTTCAAAAAGAACTTTTCCATGTGTTTTTATTGGATATAGTCCTCTTCACAAAGGATACAGATGAATTGATCCTTTAACAAATAAAGTTTATATATCTAGACATGTAGTTTTTGATAAACAAATATTTCCATATTCTCACAATGTTTCAAGTGGTAATATTCCACAACTTGCAGTCACAACTTTTTCAGATCAAGAAGAGTGGTTTTCTAAGTCAAGCAATCATCATTCTCATCAAAACTTGACCGACAAAAACACATAAGCTGACAACTCATATGTACCCCAAGTTGGTTGTTGCAATGAGCCAGATGATAACACCTCAATCGATCCAGTTAGTCACAATTTTGGACAACAAGATCTTGAAGTCTCTCAAAAGGATGACAACAATGTTTCTCATGAAATACAAGACTTGTCTACAGCTCCCTCTATTACAGATCCAAATGTAACTCATCTTTAAACTTCTCGTCCTACTCGTGTCCGCCGCCCACCATCTCATCTAAAGGATTATATATGCCCCGCCACTACTTCGTCCTCTCATCAAGATGTTGCTCTACTTACTAATCTTGCTCAAGAACCAAAGTCTCTCAAAAATGCTCTTAAATCACCTCATTGGTTTACTGTGATGCAAGAAGAGCTTACGGCCCTTTACTCAAACAACACTTGGCATCTTGTTCCTCGACCTTCCAACACCAATATCATTGCTACCGCATTAAATACAAGGAAGTGGAAGATGGCTCGATTGATCAGTACAAGGCATGACTTGTTGCAAGAGGTTTCACTCAAGTTCCTGGGCTAGACTGACGAAACTTTTAGCCCTGTGGTCAAACCCACAACCATTCATATAATCCTTTCTCTAGCAGTTGTCTCATGTTGGACTATCAAACAACTTGACGTTAAAAATGCTTTCTTACATGGTTTTCTCAAAGAAACTGTGTACATGGAACGACCACCAGGTTTTGTTAATCCAATTTTTCCCAATCATGTTTTCTTATTAAATAAATCCCTTTACGATTTAAAACAAGCACCTCACGCTTGGTTTGAGCGTTTATCTCATTGTCTTTTTACCCTTAGTTTTTCTTGCAGCAAAGCAGATTCCTCTTTGTTTATTTACAAAAAAAATGATAACCTTTTGCTATTGCTTATCTATGTGATGATGTTATTATAACAGGAAGCAATGATACTCTTATTCAGCAAAATATTCATAAACTTGGATGCGAATTTTCTCTCAAAGATCTTGGTGCCTTGCACTATTTTTTGGGAATTGAAGTCAAGCCTTTCGTTGGTGGCCTATTTCTCTCACAAACAATATACACCAAAGATCTTCTCTCTCGTGCTCACATGCTTGAATCCTCCCATCAATCGACTCCAATTGCTCTTAAACCACCCAACCTACCAGATGATCACAACTTGGTCAACGAAACTAAGTTTCGAAGGATTGTTGGCGCACTTCAATATCTTACTTTTACTCGTCCTAACATCACTCATGCAGTAAATAAAGTTTGCCAACATTTTCATCAACCGACCCCTGCCAATCTTCGAGCTGTCAAACGGATCCTTTAATATCTTAAAGGCACTATAACTTATGGTGTTCGCTTTTTATCTCAAAGCTCTCTCACTTTAAATGGTTTTTGTGATGCAAATTGGGCAGGTTGTCCTCTCACTCGTCGAAGCACCACCGGCTACTGTATTTTTCTTGGCTCCAATTGTGTGTCATGGTCTTCAAAGAAACAACCAACTGTTGCTCGCTCAAGTCCCGAAGCCGAATATCGTGCACTTGCTACCACTACTGTTGAATTGACATGGATCGAGTGACCTGGGGATTCGTCTCGTTCAACCACCTCGGCTCTTCTGCGATAATATCAGTGTTCTTCACATGACAACAAATCATGTTTTCCACGCTCGGACCAAACACATTGAACTGGATTACCATTTTGTTCGAGAAAAAGTTACGCGTGGAGATCTTGTCACCAAATATGTTACTTCGCCACTGCAAATTGCTGATGTCTTAACCAAAGCTCTTCCCAAATCATTTTTAAAAACTTTTCGAATCAAGCTGGGAGTTCATCCCCTTCCACTTCCCAGCTTGAGGGGACCTGATAAAGTCAATGATGACTCACTTGCCAAAAATAACAAAGATCCTAGCACTAATGGAGATAATAATAATATGAAAAATGAGCAAGAAGATTACTACTCCAAACGGACAAAAAATCCCATGATATATGCAAAGCCGTTGGACACAAACATGGCAATTTGTTATGCCATTTCAAAAGGATTACCTAATAAATAAAAACCCTTTTCTAGGAGTTGTTTAGCATATTAATGGCAATTTGTTATGCCATTTCAAGGAGCCATGCGAGATGAAAGTCTCATGCACGGTTTTGAATGAGAGAAAG